CTTTTAACCATTTTATTTTTTTGAATTAAATAAAATTTGTTTTACCATTTATCAACAACCTAAAAACTAAAATTACATTATATATGAAAGTTCAAATATATATATAATATATTAATATTATATTTTATTAGTAAGAGTTTTTTTTTAGAAAAAAGTTAAAATCATAACTTTGATATATTTTTTTATAACTTTTTAATAAATATATTATCTAAATAAAACATATCCATTCATGGCACGTGTCTGATCTAGGTTGTGATTTTTTATTGACAATCAATCTCTTCTTAATTTGATTGTTTATAATATTGTATTTCCTTTCTTTTTTAATGTCGATTTTTTTTAACAAAATGATTTTTTTCTATGAACTACAATTAAGAACTGACATTATTTGTCCTATATATGTGATTAAAGAACAAATAAATAATATTAAAATGAGTGTAACTAGTTTTTGACAAACTATAAATTAATAGTATAATTTAGGGATACTTTTAATTTCTTAATTGATTTTTTAAGAGAAATCGCACAAATAATCCAAACCTATTTTTATAAGTAGATATTTCATATAAGATTTTTATGTGAAAATACGTTTTTTTTTGTATAAATATGAGTTTATGAAGAAAAAACATATTAGAAACAAATTTTTGAGAAAAAAAGTTGTAAAAAAACTAAAGTTATGATGAATTCATAATAAAATTCTAAAATTTGGGCAATAAGGGTAAATTTTGGACCAAATTTGTAACAAAATTTAAAATCTGAGCCAAAAGTGTAAATTTTGGACCAAATTTGTAATAAATTTTGACATCTAGGCCAAAAATGTAATTTTTGAAAGTTGGATGAGCTGTTGACCGGGTCAAATGGTTAAATTGAATACGATTAACGGTATTTGAGACTTAATTGAATAAAAAAAATATATAAAGACTAAATCGATTATGAGGCTGTAAGGACTTTATTGAAGTTTTCCCTTTGTCCCTATTTTGCATACGTCAAAACATGTCGATCTTTCCATTAGTATAACCAATGTCTATTAACATTACAATTTGTAATCTAATAACATTACAAATTGAGATTTTGGTCGTTACACTTATTTCATCACATAAAATTTGTTTTTCTGATAAGTGTTGTAGGGGCATATGTGTTAATAAACTAGCACTCATGTTGTCTTGGAAACCACTTTATTCTAATAACAAGGAATCCAACACTAGATATTGATTGTATCTTGTCATATATTTGTGGGTTCCAAATGATAATATACCACCAAATTTTCTACATGCTTTCACAGTTTCGAATTCTATTATAGGTTGTCCCCAAAAACATATATGGTGATGCTTGTTTCCAGGTCTTCTGTAAACCATGAAAAATGCTATTAAATATTTAGAGAAATAATATTCATGGTTTACCTAAGATAGCATTTTTCTATTGATTATGTCTCCAAGTCCTTTATCATTTCTTCTCTTCAATGGTGCCTTGTACAAGAACACTTATAAGTACTCTATTCATCATCTTTGTGGTTGAAATTTGTTGCTTTTAGGTTTTCATGGTTGCTAGTTGCTACCCCTCTTCTCCGATTTCCCGCCTGTTTTCCTTTTATGCGCTGACTTATTCAATCTTCCTATTAGTTTGATCGTTGTATATGTAGGATAGTTTACCCATTCTTAGTTCCCTGTTCTCTCTTGGTCTTCGGATTTTAATCGTCTGATGTAGTTCTTCACTGAAGTGTGATTGGATCGAATCATCAGTCTCCTAATCATCATTTGGTGCTAAGTCTTATGTTGCATCAGAATCCAAATCCACCATTATCATCGTCAATTTGTTGTCGACATCCATTTGATTTGAGTCAGCTGAATAAGTATTCGGCAGAAGCTGGTTTGTATCCATGTTGATTAATTGAGCTTCAGGATATTGGGTGTTGTCTGATTAGTAGGCCCAACATTATGAGATTCGTTAGGTAAGTTGGGCTTGTCCACATTCAACTAGCAGTTGCACACTCTACCATTGTTATTCTTAGTGGGCCCAGATAGGTCAATGATTTATTACTTATTTTATTGTGTCCCCGATCGAATCCAGTGTGGCAATAAACCCGATCCGAATCTATAAGATAATGACTCTTTTGAGTCTCAATGCTTTTTTCGGGCACAACTTTGGGTCTTATGGTGTTGTTTGGAGTGAAAAAATCGGTTGGAAAAATATTCTTATGTTCACGGCAAATATTGGTTCTCAAAAAAATTTCTTATCACTGACTTTAGATAAGAAACTTGTTAATGAAGAACTTGGGAAAGAATGCCTCAATTATCGGGTGGAAAGTGTTGTATGCAAAGTTCTTACATAGAATATAAAAAGAAAAGACTTGGAAGATTCTTTGGTGCATGACAAAATATTATTTATTGACTTACTTAAGATTCCATTAGCACTAATGAGTAAAACATCGAAAGAACATATAGTCATATACGACACGGACACCAGGTAGGTTGTTGAATCAGATGACAACATTTGAGATATAAAGGCTAATTTCAAGTCCATGATCTTATTTTTCAAGTGGTTGTTTCAGTCGTTATGTAATATGCCTATGTTCTTTGGGGAAGATATGAAATGGTTGTCCGTCTACAAATATCCATCACCATAATCTTAAACAAAAAAATTGGATTTAAGAAACCAAGTTGACAAATGAAGCTTCAATAACAAAAACATACTCAAATTTGGCTTTAACCATTCGTTTTAACACAACCCCTAAAACACAAAACATACAAAGTTCATGTTTTCAAGATTGAATCTTGTAAAAGACTAAGGCTGCAGGGAATGGTCTCGGTAGAGATCGGTAATTGCCGACGTGTCCTCGATGAACAACGGGCCACCAACTCGACATGCTGAGTTCCGTGGCCAAACTCGGTGGCTGTATACCGATGAGAGAGAAAGTTGTTTTATTTTTCCTTTTTTTACCATTACAATTTCAAAAAAGGGATAATGTCACTGTAGCACATGAAACTTTCTTCATTTGGCTAATTTGGTCCTTAAAGTTTTTTTTGGTACATTAGACTAGTAAACTCGTAATTGACCTATTAATTACATCATTATCTAAAAAATTAGAAGGTTTACCGGTTACAATGCTTATGTGGCATGCTGATGTGTCCAATAAGCTTTCGTGGGATGCTTATGTGTCGAAGAAGTCCACTTGTCAATATAGGCTTATTAATTGAAACCCTCATTCAGACCTCCATTAAAGTGTTACTTACCCTTCTCTGAAAAGTCAAAGACTTCCCCCCGACTATTTCCGTCATGAAGAACAATGTCTTCGAGCTCATCGACCTCAAGGAATCAGCTACAAGTCACTCATGTTCAGTCGCGAGAAGGGGTAAAGATTTGTGATTGTGGCGTTCCAGCTAAAGAACGAACGTGTTGGAAGATAACAAACCCTGGGAGGCGTTTCTGGAATTGTCAAAACAGTATGGTAGGTCCCGATACTCCTGATTTTGATAACTTAGTATTTTAGGGTTTGATGTGTTGTTTCTTGCTGTAAAGACGATCATGGTAGATTTGTATTTTGTTTGCTTAAAAAACCCTAATTTTATTTGCTTCTTGACGATGGTGGATTGTGAATCAAACCCATTTCATTAGTACATTAAAGTTAGCTGATTTGTGATTGTGAATCAAACCCTAATTTTATTGGCTTTTTATAGACTAGGTTGAAGAAATGTAGCTTCTTTGAATGGAAAGATGAAGAACATGCAGAAGGGTACTACAAAAACCTGCTATATTCTCTGAAGCAGAAATTGGATGCTAAAGAGGATCTGTCTGAGATGAACAATTTGAGGAGAAGGGTTGCTGAAGTGGATTTTTTGCTGTCACAGGAGCAATATAAGGTGGCAAAGAGTGAGAAAGAAGTTTATGATGCATGGAAGGCAATAGGCAGGTACCGGATGATAGTTGCCTTGTTGTTTTCTTGCTTGGTCATTTGTGTTTTGAAGTTAGGGGGTGATTGTACTTAGTTAGGTTGGTTAGTGTAAGCTTTTGTTCTTTGGGATCCCTTGTATTTTTTTGTAAAGGCAGACTAGAATGTCAGTAATGATGGGCATTTTGTATGTATTGAAGCTGCTTTTAGTTACAAGTTGGGGCTATCAACCTTGATGTGTTGATGTTGTAAGGTGGTAAGTCCTTAATGAAAGGGCATATGATATTTAATGTAAAAAAATATTCAAAGTCCCAATTATAGGGCATTTTGTATAATCAGATGTTGATGTTAATGAAACATATGCATGGCTTGTATTCCCAAAAAATATATTTAATTAGATTGGTTGTCGTGCATGTTTTCATTTTGGGAACAAAAGAGAAAGTGGTCCATGTGGAAGTACACTATGTGTATGGGGACCATTTGTAGTTACTAGTCGGTGGGTGTTTTAATAATGGAAAAATGGGACCTTTGAACCCATTATAGAATCATACCCGGGACCATATAAAACATTCACATGCATGCACATTATTCAAAATTTTTCCATGCAGAAATATTCAAAGCCAAATGTCATGATTTTACTTAAAAAGGCAACTTACTTTCATAAGTGAGTAAAATATCATGTGAACAGTTTTTCAGTAAAAAGGCAACATATATCCATTACTAACCAAAATAACCTTTTATGTCATGACCAAAATACCCTTTTCTGTCATCCATACATAAATGACAAAAATACTCTTTTATGTCAAGAGTGACCATTACTGACCAAAATACCCTTTTCTCTCATGAAAAAAATACCCTTTTCTGTCATCCATACATAAATGACCAAAATACCCTTTTATGTCAAGAGTGAACTTAAAAAGGCACCATCCATACATAAATGATGAAAATACCCTTTTGTGTCATGAGTGAAATTGAAAGGCACCATCCATACAAAATTCAAATTACCATCATCCTAATACATAAGCTTTAAATCCAAATTACCATCATCCTTATACATAAACTTTAAAACAAATTACCATCATCCTAATACATAAACTTTAAATCCAAATTACAATCAACACTAATCAATTACAAGAGCTTTTCCCTTAGAATTTCTTGGATCATCAACACCACCAATTGTTTTTCCTAATTTCAGCTTCAATATTCTCTCTGACTTTCTTCTCCTTATCCTCTTCAAAATATCTGAAATTGGCCTAACCCTTACCTGTTGAACCTGGATAACAGGAACAACCTCTTGAATTTGAACATTATCAACTTGGGCATTAGGATTAACCTCATCATAATTGAACAACTTCCTCACCCTCCTCAGCTTCCTCACCCACAACAGCTTCCTCACCACAACACCCTCATCAACTTCATAACTTCTAGGTGGAGTAAATTGCATAGACTGACTAAAATGTCCTGTACTACTGGATTCAACATCAGTAGGAGTAACTTGCATATCATTTTGAGTAGTATCCATCTCAATTGGAGTCATTTCAACCTCTTCATGTTGTTGTGGTTCACTTGTACTACCCTATATGGCATGATATAATTATGTTAGTGACAAATCATATGTAAATAAATTTAAATTTTAAATGGTTTTACCTGTCCTGCATTTTGCTTCACACAAACTTTTTGTTTCTTCTGTTTCTTCACATTTAACTTTTAGGGCCTTCTCTGTGGACAAGTGGCCTTGTTGTGAACTATCTCCTTGCAAATAATACATCTTATTTTCTTTCCAGCCTTAGAAACCATGTGTGTTCCTGTATTCTCTATAGTAGATTTCTTCCTCTTAGTAGCTGGCCTACCAGGCATCCTTCTACTAATAGGAGGCAATGGTGGAGTATAATTTGTCTCTGGCCACATGTCACTGCTATTCATGGGGACAATTATGTAATTATATGCCTTCCTAAATGTGGTTGTGCTGAACATGTTGTCTATATAGGCTTCTACATCCCTATTAAGAAAGGATATGCTAGCTACAGAATGAGCACATCCATATCCATTCAATTGCCACAACCTACATGAATATGTTTTCCTTTCTAAGTCCACCTCATATGTATCTGTTGCTCCCCTTACCTCAAACTGGTTTAATCCACTTGGTAGTAACTGATAATGCCTTTGAACTTTTTTAAGCAAATTCACCTTATCCCTTATATCTGGACAAATATGATTTCCCTATTGTTGTCCGTTTAATTTTCATGTTGTAGATTATGTCCATCTTGTATAATCTTAACTCATATAACATGGTTATTATGGGCTTCTTCATGGCATCTACTATTACAACATTAAAACTTTTTGAGAAGCCATTTTCAACTGCATCACAACCCCTTCCAGCTTGAAAGAAAGCTCTTGACCATGTTTTAGGATCTTTCTCCATGAGATATTGATGGGCATCTGGGTTCAATTTCTCACTTTCCTTCATCACAACTTTAAAAACATGCTTAGTTGTGGCTTTAGATGCTCTCCAAAACAAGGTATGATAAATGGCTCCAGTGAATCTCTTTTGTAAATTCTATCAAATATGTCTAGCACACTGCCTGTGCTCTATATATGGCAACAACTCTTTAACAACCTCTATCAAACCCTGTATTAGTACAAAGGTTTAAATCAGATAGTATAAAATAAATATAAATGAATTACTATGTAAAATACTAACCTTATGTTGGTCTAACATTAAACTGAAACCATTTCCTAAATTCAAGTTTAGATCATCAATTAGAAGCTCTAAAAACCACTTCCAATTCTGCTTGTTCTCCACATTAACCACTACCCAAGCAATAGGATATATCTTGTCATTTGCATCCCTCCCAATAGCACAAAGCAATCCCCCCTTACAAACACCTTTAAGAAAACATCCATCAAGACCTATTATCCTTCTACACACTTCAATCCAACCTTGTTTAACTCCTTGAAAACAATAATAGAACTTGCTAAAATATTTCTTTCCATTTGGACCATCCTCCACATCTAGTTTCACAGTTGACCCAGGATTTGTCCTTAAAATCTCATGACCATATGACCATAGCTTACCATAATGTTCAACAAGGCTACCTTCAACAAGATTCAGTGCATACTTCTTTGCTCTTCTATATTGCCCCATACTAACTTGGATACCAAACGTGGCAATTCCCTTTACCCTAAGCTTTCCTTACACTTATTTTCTGACTTTGTACAATCTCTTTGGTATAGTGACTCCCAATCCATGCATATGTCACCAATGATCCAAACTTGAAGTTCCTAGCACAATTATGATCAACTTTTAGTGACTTGATTTGGAAACTCTCTTCATCACTCATCCAAGAAGTCCATAATCTAAATGTGAAAGCACCCTTGCAACACCTCACCAAACGTCTTTTCCTATCATTTTTTTCAAAACACAATTGATATCCATTAGCTACAACATAGTTACATAACATTGATTTTACTTGTCCTGGACCCTTAAATCTCATCCCTAGAATTGGTTTTTGTTTTTTCCAGTGTAATAGCTCATTAAATATGGAATGAGTTTGAATGTTAAGTTCAACTTCTCTCCCATTGTCATCATCTACAATGTTGTTATCCTCCTCATCATCAACACATAACTTACTCAAGAAAGGATCATTTTATGTCTTATTCATATGCACTACATCCTCATTAATTTCAAAGGCAACATTCCTAAGTTCATCTATTTAATCTTCATTTTCACCATCAATACAAGACTCATGTTCATCATCATCATTATCTTCATCATCAAGCCACCCATCAACACCAACCCCAATATAATCCACATAAACCGAAATTACACCATCTGTTCCATAAGCATCAAAAATAAAAGCAACATATTCCACATCATCTGAAATGGGATTAAGCCCTTCCATCAAGAATTGCCTGGTTCACAATAGTAAAACTTTTTACACTCTTCATGCATGAAACGTTCGCAGAAGGTCACAAACTCAGAATAAGTCATAGAAGAAAAGTTGACATCATTGCAGATGGTTTTAACACCACCAGTGTAAGAGAAAGGATTTCGATTAAATACCCCTTGGTAGTTGAGTTCCACCATCGCAAACACTCCATTAGGTTCCGATTGTGCCATTGCTGCGACTTCTTTGTTTCTTCAGCTCGATCACAGGAATGCTTGACAAACCCTAACTCAGTTTCTTTTACAGCTGAATAATGAAGACGAGTGAAGTTTGATAGCTGAAGACGAAAGGCTTTAAGCTTCGTATATCATTAATTGACGTGGCATCAGATTAGACAAAAAAATATATATTAATTGACATATATAAAATGTCAACCGGGAAACCGTTTAAAAGTTGATGAAATGGTGTAATTAATAGGTCAATTACGAGTTTACTGGTCTAATGTACCAAAAAAAACTTTAAGGACCAAATTAGCCAAATGTAAAAAGTTTCATGTGCGACAATGACATTATCCCTTTCAAAAAACACCCCACTTCTAAAAAACATACCTCATTTTTAAAATATAACTGTTTTTTTTTTTAATTTTCAAATTTTAAACCTTTCATCCTCTACTATAAATACCAACATCCTTTTTCATTTTTCACCACATTAACTCTCCTATCCTTTTTATTTTCCATCTTCTTCAAAACTTCATCTCTAAAAAATGGCTCGTATGCTTGGTCAAAGGATGAAGAGATCATATTGAATCGTTCATGGGTCGATGTAACTGAAGAGCCAATCAACATTAGCGTCGATACGCCTATTTTCTGGAGGAGAGTCTCCAAAATATACAACGGCGAAGACGATAAACCTTGAAGTAAAGATCAATTCTTCTCCAAATAGAGAAATGCAAACGCAGTTGTAATGCAGCTTAACAATGTGTTTCGTAGGCATGGCCGGTCCAATCATATTTTTGGGTGCATGGCGAGAAGAAAAAAATGGCCCCCAAAGTCATAAATAAAATAAATATTAAAAAATAAACACACCATTTACAAAAATAATTAATACTATTATCAAGAATACAAATATAGTCACAACAATTACAAAAACTACTAATTAATATAAATACTCATTCTAGTTTTTTTTGAATGAAAATCATTAATAATACTATAAAGATCAAATTTATCTATCATATATATTTCCTCTATACATAATGTTCGCAAACCATTCAACATTTTTATGACATTAATGACCTTAGGTAAGTCTTCAATAACTTCATCTTCAAAAAAAAAAAACTTCTCTCTACATATACAACACTTGAAAAAAAAAAACTTTTCTGTGCAGATACAACACAGTAACAATAATAGTTAATATGATGAAATATGCAATATAATCATTTAGCTAATAATCACTCGTTTAACAAACTCCAAAATTTGAACTTACACTATATTATTAGGCAAAATCATTTACAAAACTCCAAATTTTGTTTTTTCCTTTTTTGCTTTCTAGTAGATGTTTTTTTTTAGAAAACATTATGCAATTGTCAATAACTAAATTACACTACTTTGAATAGGGATGTCAAAAAGTCATGTGAGACACCGTTCCCGTGGGCCCCGTCCCGTTTAAGGATATTTATTAAAAAAATCAGGGGCGGGGACGGGGAGTGGGGCAAGGTTAACCCCCGTTTTAATTTCGGGGGCGGGGGCGGGGGCGGGGGTGGGCAATTCCGTCCCGAAACCCCTATGGGGACCCCATTAATAAATTAGAAACATATTAATTATATAAATATAATAAACAATAACATGATTTTGAGCTTCCAAAATTCAACAAAAAATAAGTTTTTAAGTGTTAGTATAATATTTTTAAGATGCTATAACTTTTTTGGTTTTAACATGTAAAAATTCTGTTATAAATAATTATTTGCTACCTAAAAAATAGTTTCTTTTAGTCCAAACAACAATTTCTTTAAGCCCAAAAAAGGCAACCCAAAATCAATCTAGGACGGGGGAACAGGGGCGGGGGCGGGGGTAATAAGGGGGATACGGGGGCAGGGGCAGGGGTAAGAAGGCTGGCATTTCGGGGGCGGGGGCGGGGCGGGAACGGGGGAACAGGGAAATGTCGGGGGTGGGGGTGGGGGATGCACTCCCCGTCTCGTTTGGCCCCGTTGACATCCCTAACTTTGAGATAAGAATACACCAAAATTTCGATTTATGTCCCCAATTTATGGGGCGGCAAATTAAACAAGTAAAAATAAAAAATTTAATACACTAATATTCTAAAATACAAACAAAATTCAAAAAGTTCTAATTACAAACATATTACCTTAAATATGATATTGAGTAGTATGAAAGAATAAAGAAGTCTAAATCCTAATATTAAAATCAGAATAGAGTCAAGAAATCAGATATATAATTACAAACAGAAATCATAAAGGAGTCTAAAATTTGAAGTAACGAGAGCCAAGAAATCTGATAAAAATTACATACATAGCAAAATCATGAAACTTATACTTTGCAAAACAGATATTGAAAACTGCAGAGTGAGAAACACAAATAGTGAGAAAAATTACATACACATCAAAATCAGGAATTGGGAGCCGAGAAAGGAGAGT